TTATGGAACTCTCGACAGAATTCAGATAAGTTTAAGAACCGCTGCCCGTAGACATGGAATTCGAGCGGTGCCGAGCTGGGACCTGGGCTGTCGGTCCACAGTCTGGAAATTCGTATCGCGCAATCCTCCTATCCTCCATTGACTAGCTATGGATTACGGTTACCCGACAAAAATTGATTCTAAGCCGTCCTGAATTTCGTAGCTACAGCGCTCACGGGCCGTAGATACATATGCATCCCCTACTGACAAGATACCAGACGCAGATGATAAGGAGCTCGACAATCGGCGGTGGCGGTTGCCGATAGGTTAGTACGCACGCGACACTTCTACTTTCGGAAGGGAACGGGTTGTACCCAGCGGTTGACATTGCTGTCATAACACCGGAAAAAAGCGGTCTCGGCCGGCCGGAGAACCTGCGCGAGCGCCGCCTTGTCGCGGCACCCTGGCTCTTTGTTACAAACGAAGGTGTCGATAACGGCGGAATCCTATTCCGTCCAACTATCCAGTCAATCTTCCGCCGGCTCTCCACTAACGTACCCGAGCTCATCCAAGGGGTTCACCCCCGTCCATGAGGGGGAACTTCGACGCATCACGATCGTAGATTTCGGAAGCCGGTGTGTCAACTGGTCGATGCGACGAGGTCGATGAAAATCACGGGGGCAGCTAGACTCCGAAGGGAGGGGGTCTATTCGTCAAAATCTATCGTGTTGAGATTCTTTTCCATCTCGGAGTCATCAACAGAGAATCTGATCCGTAATTTCTCCCACAATCTCAGAGATGGTAGGGCGAGAATTCCTCAGATCTTCTCATTCGGTGGGCTGCATGCAAGTGTCCAAGTGTGCAGGATTTACTCAGAGTCATGAGATTGGGAGTGCCGCTTTCCACATACGAGAGTCAGGTAAGAAACTATTCAAGATCTCCCGAGCCGAGCGAAAAGCGCCCAATCGAACGGGATCAGTCAACGATACGTTCTGTCTTTCTGTTTCATTCCGAGCGTAGGTGAGCGCTACCGGAGGAAACGACCGCCAGTCGACGAAAATAATCTCTTCCGGATGGTTCCGACAGCCTGAATTTCGGCTTACGTTGCGGTAGGTACTTTTGCGGCGTGCTCACTATTCGGGGGTCAGAGGAGACACTGCATTCTTTGGCGAACTTGCTGAGTCGATTCATCTGATGAGAAAGTCGCGTCCGCCCGTTAGAAGCGAGTATTCGCTAGCTGTTGCTCGCTGCCCGAGCTCCTATTAATTGCTCGCCTTCCTCTAATTAAATGTTCCCTCCCGCCCTTTCCGGCGAAGATTCTGCTTGTCGACTGACCGCTCCTAGCTTATGCGCGTTTCCGGAGAGCCGGCCGCATATGTACAAGTGTAGGCATGCTGTTGGACTGCCTCACTTGAGCTTATATCGTGGCGAGAGAAAACGAAAGCGAGTTTTCCTATTTATGAAAACGTTGACCGGGAATCAGCTCCTCATCTTGCGGCCGGCCTCATGCGGTCGTGTGATCTTCTCGTGCCCGGTGACCTTTTTCACCTGTTCGGCGCCGTGAACTGTTTCGCGATCGACTCTTCCTCTTCTCCAGGGTGCCTGCTATCACAATTCACAATTATACAATCTCGCTTTGGGCTTCCGTCGCCAGTGCCTCCTTCATGGGGATGACAAGCGATCGCGCCGGTGTTTGAATCGGAGCATGGAGGAATAGAATCTCGGGGTGTATAGGGAACTCCGGTCCGTGTTCCAGCACCGACCGATTCGCCCGAGTGATTTACCGGGCTAAGCCTTCGAGGAGCGGAACTCGAGAGCCCTCGAAACTTGTTTTTCGGTTATCGCCTCCGCAAACAACGGTCTTATTTGCGCTCGAGCCTCGCACTCATTTCCTTCTCACACGAGATAGATTCACGCATGGCGTGTGGGATTCGATCGAAACATAGTTGGTCCTCCGAGTCTACGAATACGCCCCGAAGAATCTCCGTCGTTTGCGAGGTCGAGTACAAACGCGACTCCCCGGCGTCTTCCAGAAAAACGTCACCTTACGCAAGGAAATCAGATATTTATCCATCTCCCGAACAGGGCCAATCTCGCATTGGCGGGAACCCGGTCGGTGAGATGGTTCCCGCCGATATTGGAAAGTGGGCAAAAAACTCAAGCGAAAGGGAGCCGGGTCCGGGGCCTTGATTCCACAGGCGCGATTCCTCCGAATGGGGCAATCACCGGACCGGAGTCCAAGGAGCCGGCAGGGGAACGATGCGTCGCCGAGGGGGCAACATGCTGCGGCCGGAGCTGACGGCAACACCAAAATCCTTCGAACATTCCTGGCGCGGAAAACAAATGATCACCGCGAATGCTTCGAGGGAAAAAAACAAAGCATCAGCTAACGTTCGATGGCGAGCTCGGAAGACGAGCGGAAAACACAGCGGCCGGACTGAGCTCAGCAGGGTGTTGTCCCATACATCGATCTGAGGCTCAGACTCGAGGCCGCAGATATTCGAGGAGGTCAGAAATCTGCTCAATCTACCAATTCCTAAGCACTTTGGTCCGCACCACGCCGAGCTTTGAGCCCGCATCGTTCATTTCGCGGGTCTTCGAGAAGCCCTGAGCTGAGCCTATGATCAGCTTGCCGAATGCTCGGAGGGAGTCATTGCTTGCGGTATGCTCTATCCAAATCTCTCTTGGAAGACTAAAACCCTGACAGACTGGCTGCTGGCTGGTTGTCTATCTAACTGTGAGTGGTTGTCTGAGCACAAATGTGGATACGAACTCTAAGACGGCATCCGCCAGAAGGACGCGGAACCACTGATTAGGGCTCTGCCTCGTTTTCAAACAGTTCCGGACTTCGGCGAATTGGGATAGTCTTCTCTCGGTCCCCGCGTTGCGCGCTGGCTTTACAATCGTTTCGTACGGAGTCAGGTCTGACACGCCACTCATATTGTGAGGCGGTTTCGAGCCCGGATTGACGAGAATAGGGAATGTCGCGCAGCTCCCTCAAATTTCAATAAGGTTGGACAACTGAAGTTCGATGATTCAGGAACCCTCGCTCCCGGTAAATGAAATGGGGCCCCAGTTTAAACCGGTCGATGGGGTTCTCGATTCCCTCAGATTGGAAAACGCTTCGTCGTCGGGGTTCGCTATTCACTCGTCGTGTTCTGAGTTCTGAGGAACCTCGATAGTGGACTTCATTTGCTCGCTGAAGCTCAATTCATTGTCCCTTTCCGGGACTTGGGGGAATTTCGCTGAAAAAAATCCGCGCCCAGTCAGGACCTAGAGAATTGTAGACTCTTCTCCGAACGAAACCCGATCAGAGCTTTTCGGAACCAATCGCTCTGTGCAACGCGGCTCGCAGGGAGCTCTATTTCTTCCGCGGAGATAGACCGCGGGGACCGTCTGATTCAGGGACTGGATTGGTGTGTTTGTCCTCCTGTCAGCGCATTGACACGGTGTTCTAGATGCTATGATGGTGGTATCACCAAATCCACTCACCATATCCTAATCCACGGCCATCCGGGAGATGTAAGGAGCCTTGGGGTTTCCAGCTGGGAAAGACTTCCGATTCAGTTTCATGTTGTTCATCAGCTTTCAGCAGATTTGGAAGTTCCACGCAGAGAATGGCTATCGGAATGGAGAGGATATGCTGATATCTAGGCCTGCTTGCTGATGTAGGAGGACACCGTCAATTCGAAGCTCATTATCGGGGACTTCTTTGCGCGGAATGCGTGGGTGGGATTGACGTATGCCGACATTCACTGTCGCTTCCAAAAGTGACAAGCTCATTCACCAGATATGACTGGAATCGTAGCAGGAGTTCTTCACCCTGAAATTCTGCGAACGACAAGGCTCATTGTTGAGAGTATAATACGGCCGGTGGATCCTGACCGTGGGCGTCGTCTGACTGCTCGACAGTGAATGCTTTGCTCCGTTGTAGGACTCGGCCAGAAGATGCGGTGGATTCCTCTTTAAACCCTGACAACCGGCAGATCATATTCTAATTCGGGATGGTGGAGGTGGAACGAGGCTACGCAATTATCTCTGGAAGTGGACCGCTACAGAACGGAAGCGGGATGAAGTCAGCGACCGGGGCTGCATTCTGACGACCATCTCGGAGCTTGAATCTCCGACGGAGAATTTCTTCATCCTGAGCTTTGGATTCCATGTCCGAATCTTGATGCATTTTGGGCAACCTACTTGCGCACGTTCGACTTCGAGGGTCACCGGCTCTCGGGAAGGGCCTCAGCGTCTGAGTATGCACCGTCGAACGAAGTCAATTTCTGCTGGAAAGTCCTCGTGAGTCACGTCAGCTCACTTGCGAAATTTCGCCGAGCGTGATTCCCACAGCATGAGCCGGTGGGACTACGCTCCGCTCGCTAAATCAACAGCTGAGGCCCATCATGACTGAAGGAGCAAACGTCGAGACGTTTGTTGAGTGAGCATGACTTTGATCAAGCGATCAAAGCACTCATCTGCATTCGTCGGAATGACAGACTCCCTCACTTACGCAATCGTGTGCTGAGCCGAACTAGTTGACTTGGACATGTTCTTACTTCGCTGTGGTTCCTCTCGCTCGGCCGAGAGGATCGGCAGTCTACAATGAGTACATGTCAGTCGCGAGGGTACGCCGGCAGCTTTCTGAAGGAACCAAGTCTGAGAGCGAAGGGTAACGTGGAGTTGTGCGGCCCATGATCAAACGTTGTGCATCCATCAATTCATCCTCATCATGCGTAGATTCAAGCATAGGAACGAGCAGAGCGTCAGGAGTCTGAGCTCCCAAACGGGAGAGCTTGGATTGAGAGGAGATCACCATTCCCCGGAATCATGGTGAATTCTAAAAGTATTCTACAATTTGACTTTCTTTCGAACCTGGAATCGACGAATGATCGGTCCCTTCGAATGAGGACATCAGATTATAACAACAGATTTATTTACAAGATAAATACTCATACCGAACAAAAATGTTCTTCTTATCGTCAAAAAGCTGGAGGATTCTCTGATCCGCTCGTCCTGGAATTTTCTCCTCCGAACGTACACGTTGGGAGCTCCCGCTGTGCTCGAGCTGGGAAACTCCCTGGCCCATGAGCCCATTGCGTTCGGATCTTACGCTTGGCGGTAGGGGATTCTTTGTAGGAACAGAAACCGGGTGCTCTCAGGCAGAGGCCTTCCGTTTCCCGTCTACGCGACGTCTTCTTTTTCGAGGTCTCGGTGTCGTGTACTTGTTAGTGTTCAAGTGGAAGAATTTATCCGAATCGTTGCATTGAACATTGTACCACCAGTCGCAAATGAAAAGTTCCTGTTTGAATATTGTGCCGTTCGGACAAAGGAAACTCATCTTGTGTCCTAATGGATCGCAGTTGTGGAATGCCTGCAATTACCGAAATGAATGCTATTTAGAGTGGGAAGTTTTCCATTGTTCCGCAGCGGATATCGGAGGAGGAGATCTCCCACGTCCGAGAGGCCGGGCATTGTGAGTCTTCGTTCGTGATTCCACCGCATCGAATAGCCACTCGCATCGGAAATCTATAACATTAATTGGCTCCCATCTAGCTCATCTGAAGAGAGCAAAACCGTTCTCGGTTCATCGAGGACAAGGGAATCGGGGGGAGGAGGGAGGGAGTCGCAGAAGAGGGGACCGTCCTGTCGTGCTTCAGGTGCTCAACAAATCAGGATGCTCGGCGGGCGAACATCCATTGACAGGTCGTCATTAGCGGGAAACGCGCCCGGGATTCTCGCGCCGAAAAACCAAGACTTGTCGTTCCCGCCGCCGCATTGGCAGTTGCGAGAACTTGCGGTGCGCTAGCGGGAGACATGAAGACAACCGCTGAGACAAGGAGAAACATCATTTTTTGCGAGAACAAACGGTCAGACGGCGAGCCCCGGGCAGACTCCGCGAATCGTTAGGAGCAGTCCATTCCAGTCTCATAAAGAACACTTGTGCATAAGCGACAAGGCACAATCAAGGCTCTGACATGGGATTTTGTATGCAATGAACGAACAGGTCTCACTCAGTCCTGCCTCTCCATACGGGACAGGAATACATTCCCGCAGCGAGCGAGCGAGCCGGGCGGAAAAAGACTCATGTAGTGAGTATGAAAGAAAAAAAATACCAATTTCCCACCTGACATCCTGTCTCGATATCGGCATACATTCCTGCACTCTCTTGGATTTTGCAGTTGAACGTGGTGTCTGGAACTATTGAGTAGATCGGATAATCGACGCCAGGCGTTCCTGGCAAGTCTCCGCCGCCGTTTTGAGAGTTGTCTACGTGACCCTGGTTCTTTTGAGAGTTGTCGTTCGACTCAGGCGCGACGCTGTCTGAGCCGATCGGATCCCTTTGTACGCCGTTTCTGTTCCGCGTGCTGGTGCGGTTCCGTTGGGGCGTCCTGAGAAGAGGAAAAAAACCGGTTCATGGTTCCTTATTGTACTTCTAGTCCGTCGGTTTCTATAGATTTCCCTGAGGGTCACGTCTTTGAATGAGTTCTCGTCCAACGAATATCTGGGGAGTGACGTGGACATTACACGTTATTGGCCGGCGTCTGGTTACGTCTTACTCTCATAAGAATGATACCACCGCTGCCAGGGCGATGAACGGTGTAACGGCGGATCGGAAATTGTCGCACGCTGCATAGAATTCTTAGTAGTGAAGAGCTGCGGCGATTGTGGAGCGGGAATGCTCCAGCGATCGGCACCGACTCTTTTTATCGTTTCCGCCCGAATTCCAGCCGCAGCAGAGCTCTAACTAGTAGGGAACGGCGTCTTTGAGAAGCCGAAATCCAGTCGGATAGCCGTTCTATCTGTATCAATGTCTTCCCCGATCCAGTCCACCCACTGAGCTTCCCTAATTTATCCGAGAAGGGCGGAAAGCAGTGTCCCGATACGCACTCGGGCAAAATTGACCTTTTGTGTTTACGGCATCTTGTCCATTACGCTTCAGAAAAGTAATCGATCGGGAGACCTTGACCCCACCCATTCCGAGCATTTCGGAGACGACCCGCACTGAGCCTCCTGCCTGGCTGTTCGAATTCCGTACGTGAGTAGATTTCCGAATTCCGCCGGGCCGAATTGTGACTTGGCAGAGCCCTTCAGAACCGAGACCGAGACGCACGTACCTGACATTGTTCGGATGCTCGATGGTGAGAAAGCGAAAAGCTAACTTCATCGGGACTGGCGTTTACTCGGCGCTCACTCAGACTAAGTTTGTATGGAGCTCCTTAATCGAGAATGAATCGTTCCTCTTCGCGAGAAGTCGATCGTAATGATTGTGGGTCATTGTTTGGAATTCTCCACCGGAACGCTTACCTTCGCTCTTCGTTGATCGGACCATCAGTGTAAATGGTGCCCTGGGAAAAATTGAAGCCTTTTTTCGACGGGGATCTCGCTGGCTCCCGGGACTGGGCTTTCCGGCTGGGAAACGTGTTCGAAACAGGTTTTTGATCCGGATTGGAGAGTGGGACCGGGAAGAAGGGGTCATCGGTAATCTCCCCTGTCTGTCTGTGGTTAAGCGGAAGCTCCTGTGCGGCGGGGATCTTAACTTCGACATCCACGACTTGAACGTTTGGAGTTTTCGCTTGAGTCGTATGCTCGATCGTGAAGTGCCGGCTCTCGGTCGGGATGCGGACCCTGTTCCTCGCCGGTTTCTGAGTTGGTTGAAGTTCAGGAGAGGAAAACTGATCATCATTTGCTCGAACTTGGTCTCGCTCCGCTGGAGGCGCGGGAGTTCCCTCTCTGAATTTCTGAACGCGTCGGGGTGGAGGCGGCGCCTGCGATGCGGGAGGCGATTTCAGATCGACCTGCTCGTCGACGCGCTGCAGGGAGGCAATCTGTTGCGTTCTTGTGTTTCGCTCAGCCTCGAAGCGTTGTTTTTCTTCTTCGTATTTCAGACGTTGCTCATTGAAACGTCTCTCCTCGTCTTCGAATCGTCTGCGATTCTCCTCAAATCGCCGTTGGTCCTCCTCGAACCTCCTCTGTTGCTCCCTGTATTTCCGCTGGTCCTCTTCGAAGAGTCGAAGTTCTTCGCGGTAACGCCTCTGATCTTCCAGGATTGCTCGGTTGAACGTTTGTCGCTGCGCCGCGGGACTCGGGGTTTGCGCCCCGAGGACAGGACCTGCATTCGGCGGAGGCGGTACGGGAGCAAGTTCGACGAAACGCTCGCCGTTGTTGTCGCTTGGTTTGTTCAAAGGCGCTGACTGTTGTTGTTGTTGCTGCTGCTGCTGCCGCAATCGAGATCTCAGAGGAACCACCTGCGTGAAGGTCTGCGTCGTGACTGCTCCCGTATGGTGTTTACTCTCTATAGTGAAATCAATGGTCTTGGTTCTCGGCTCCCCCAGACCATCTTGGAAATTCGGATTCTTCCGCACAATCTGATTTTGACGTTTCGCCGGCGTTTCGAAACTGGGGCTCGGATCCCTTTCAGGCAGAAACGTTTCCGCTTTTGGGAACTCTGTGACCGATAGTGTGGCGGGGTCGAATTCTTTCGCTGAGAATTTTCGTTCCAACTCTTCCTTTTGTCGCCGGAAATTCTCTTCGAAACTCTCTTTCGAAAAGTCAACCTTCGATTGAACCGGCTCGTCCTGCACGAGAGTGGGGTCCCGAACACCTTGATCGAGCGCCGTCCGGCGTCCGTTATGGAAATCTGCTTCGATGCGGGACATCCTTTCGTCGGGGTCCTGGATCTTCGAACCCGATTCGGGCAGGCTGATCTGGTCGCCGGTCACGCCCTGGATGAACCTGGTATTTTGTTGCGGAGCGACTTCCCCGGTGTTGACATCCTGGAAGAGACCTGTATCCCGACTCCCTCGACCGGGCTCGGCGGTCTCCTGCACCGGTATAGCGTTCTGGAACGGCGAGTCCGAAAACGAACGCTGCTCAACGCCTTCTTCGTTCTGTGAGGTTGGTTCTGGTATTTTCGGTAGATCGGTAGGAGTGATTATATTATTCGAGGGACGAATCGTGTTGAGCAGATCTTCACCGGTGACGGCGCGATCCGCGGGAGTTACGGGAGGTACGAAATATATGCCGTCCTGTTTCGACCTCTGAGCTGTGAAGTGGACAGTGTTCAGAGTGTGTGTGGCGGGGTTTTCCTCTCTCTCTAAATGCTTATGGGGCAGACGTTGATGGACATCGGAGAGCACAACCGGACGATCCCCAACGAGGACGACCTCTCCGGGAATTCCGCTCGCTCGGCTATGTCCATTTTCGAGGTTTCGGTTGCTCGACTCGCGCTGCCGATTCTGCTCCTGCTCGGCCACGGGCAGCCTGCCCACGTGCAGGACCTCGTCCGGCTTCGGTGAGGAGTTTTTTTGGAGCGGATGCTGTACTTTCAGCTGGAAACTGACGCCTTTCCCTAGAAATGTACAATAATTCGTCTCGTTGTTAGTTGCGAGCTCGGACAAGTATCGGAGACCTCGCTTGCGCTTCCCTCCCGAGGCCGATGAGCGAAAAGATCATTATCGATACTCACCGTCGCCGGGCGATTTCGTATCTAGAAAACTGAAGCTCCTAGTGGTAGATGCCTGCTGGTTGGAGGCTTTAGTTTGAAGGAACTGCTCGGGGATACTGGGAGTGAAAGTCTGCTGGAGGACCTCGAGAGGCTTCGCTGTGAATGCGAGCGGGTTGCCTCCGGGAGCGAACGGTCCGATGGGAGGCGGCGGGGGTCTTGTGGTGGCGTCCGTCTGAAAATACGCATTAGAGCTCCTCATTTATTCCGAGGAATTTCCACGAGGAGGCGTCTCTCCGAATCGGACGGAATTTGTAGGAAGCGAGTCCGCCGGGCCGAATCGTCACTGAAGCGCTCACGATGACCAGCCGAAGCCGGTATTGTTTCTTTCTGAGTGACCTTGACTGCTCTGAGCACGCGAGGGATTCCCACAGCTTTGACAATAGTTCGTGGTACGTGATGAAGAGATTACATAACGCGTCTCGAGCTTTACACTTGAGACAACTCGGTCGGTATAATAATGTTTTTTTTTGTTGGAAACGGACGCGGTTTCGGAGCTTCATACATTTCGATTTAGCAGCGTCAAGGATCACTACCTCTCGCGCGTCCGTGTGTAGAGAAGGTGTGGACTTGGTAAGTCGAGCATTGAATCGCTGGAAAGCGTCTTGAACGCATCGATGGCCGATATTCACGCCGCCTACTGACGTGAAAACGAGCGGCACGCCACAGAAGCCGCCCAACTTTCACTGCCCACTCCGCGGGGATGTACCCACTCCAGCAACGACTGAGCGATCGGCCGACCGACTGAGCGACCCACTCTGTCTAAAGGTCAACTGACACCCCGCGCCGTTTCAGATCACATGTTTGTTCTTCGAATTCTCGATCGGACAATAACGCGTTCCTCCACGCGGATAAACACCCTCGCTCCCCGGTCAAATATTCCCGCCTGGATCGGGATCCACATCGACGTCGATCCAGTCGGGAAAGTCTGTATGGAGAAAGTGGAGCCTGGACGACGAACGATTATTTTGGAGTCGTTTCGGGATAATGGAAATAATCTTCAGCCATTTGACGACAGTTTCGTTGCTGGAGGGACTATCGCCAGCATCCGCGATCACTTGCGAGCGCTCCCCTCAGAGATTCTTGGAAAATAGGTTGCACATCATGATTCTGACCGCAAAGACCGCCCTACGCAGCGGAAATTCAGACGCGATTTCATACTAGCGTTTCTCCAAAGTGCGAGAGACCGGTCTCGATTTCATTGCTCGTATTCGATCCAGGGATAGTTTTTCGGATTTAAGAAGATTACCGGTACTCGGGCATGAAGATCTCTGAGACCCATCTCGGTTCTTGTGATAGGGGCGGGCCGAAATATTCCGTCGAGTAAGAGTTCTCGACGCAAGGCTCCGAATAAAGCGGTACCCCGAAGGGGATCGAGCACGTGAAGGATAACAGCCGCGATTACTCACCGTCCGATCCTGATCTTCATTTTTGCACACGGAGTAATCCAGAGCGCACGCCACAAAGAGTAACCATCTCATTTTATCCTTGATCGGATGTTTTAGGCCCTGCTCTCACACTCCGGAGTCGGAGCCAACTTCAATATTGTGGGAAACGATCTCACTGCCACCACGAAGAAACCCTTCAACCCGCGAATGCGCGAACCGTACTAGCGTCAGTGACTTTTTCTCCGGAGAAAGGGAGGGCTCGCCATCACCACTACCGCAGCCACCAACAAGAACGACTGCGTACGACTCGCTCAGGATGTGACAAGAGACTCACTGGGACGGTGACTGATTTCGGCGGCTGTTTCTGGAAGAGTCAGCTGTACCGAAGCCACACGGGCAAAGGAAGACTCAGCGATCGGAATGAGTGGACCGAAATGAGTCGTCGCTGACGCCGCCGCCGTTTACGGTTGCGTGTCAGCCAACGAAATTTATACTCTTCCGACGGCTTCCTGCCGTTCACTAGAACAGATGAGTTTTCCAAGTCACTTTCGAATCCCATTGCCTCCCCGCTCTCCATCGGAGTGTAACCCGTTTCCTCATGAAGGTGAACAACAAGAAAAACACGTCTCGCTCCGTCAGCCCCTCCGGTCGGCTCTGTGAAATACTTGAACCTTCGAATTATTATCCGTGGATATGGGCGGTATCCCGTAAGAAGCGTACATCTAATTCGCGTTCACGTCAATTATGGAGACGTCGGACCGGTACACGGAACTCGGGCGCGTAAGTTACGTTATGCGGAATGAGTGCCGGCGCGCAATCAAGGTGTACTTGAATTACTAGCGCATTCGTGGCCGCATGGAATTCGGCACGTGAGATGCGCGCCCATGACCGGCACGGACGCTGGACGAATATCGGAGCCCTTGCAGAGCGCAACGATTAGTGTAACCCGCGCCCTCGCCCGAGTCCCGCGGTAATTTCTGACTGAAATTCAGGTCTTTCCTCCTAGTCAGTGTCACACGGTGAGCTCACGTGCAACATCATCGGTGCCCCGGTTCCCGCTTCCGCTGCCAATGATATCGGCATGCCACGAGGTTCAGACCCGACGACGGGGTTTCACACAAACAGTCTTCGATAAACCCAGGCCCTAGCTTGGATCGGGATCGGGAGCCTGACTGTGAGACTGCAAGCGATGTCCTACAGAGGAATTTCGAACTGAAGTATCTCGCACATCAGGGAGCGGCCGCGCTGGCCACCCAGCCGCCTCGATGTGCATTTCCCGCAACCAGATTCTACCATGGACATAGATTGAATTCTCCACAGAGCAAGTTATCATCTCGCCGCGCGCCCAGAATCGAAGGCCCAGCTAGCGACTTCTGCGTGCGCATCGCCGTCGAACGTATTCGCTGTTGGAAATTGCACGCTCAGTGATTGGGTATAGAGAACGGTGATGGCCATGATGAGAGTGTCGACCGTACAATTGTTGGAAGAATAATGATGCGAAGGCAAGCGGCGGATAATGCGGAGTACGGAACAGCTGTTTGCAGAGGGAAGCGAACGACCGTCGTGCAGTCCCCGCTCGCTCCTCCTGCGAGTTACACTTAGCCGAACGATCATAGAAAGCCTTGTTGCAACCTTCCATTATAGTTTATATCACCCTGGGGTACGGCGTCGCTGAGTCTTGTATGGTCTCCCTCGGTTGGTTTTTGCGCGAGAACCGAAGAATCCCCATTGGTGAGAACATTCCTGAACTCCCAAATGAATTGGCTCCGATGCCGAAATCCACATCCGAAGTGAGACCAACACGGCTCCCTTCGCTTCGAGCGATCGTGTCGATTCGATTAGGGGCGTATACGATTCTCGTTTGCACTCGTAGGAAGGATACGAGAATCCCATTGCATCGGAGCCATGGGAAACACGAGAGAGAATAGAATCGGCTTGAGGATAGCGGCTATCGCCAGAAACGAAAACGCTTCGGCTGCAACGCACCTGGCTTATAAACTGGAGAAAACCGTGGGGCGGGGACGGATTCTCGTTAGAATCGAAGTTCATCTCCCACGTCGCATTGTGTAATAGGGGGCGAATTACTCCTGCTCCGAAGATTGGCTCTGCTCTACAATAATTGTCCATTGAGGTCGTCACTGACCGAAGTGAGCCGGCTGGGCTCAGGGGCTGACAACGATGACAGGGGACAAGCCACCGGTCGGAGGCGACGATGGCGATGATGGTAGCCGTGATGACAACACAAAGATTTTCCCAAAAAGTCCACTTCCGATTCAAAAAGGTCGGTCGACTTCTAAAGGAGCCGTCAATGTGTTCGTAAGCGTTCACGCATGAGAATCTGACCGAGAGCCGATGTCGCTGGCCGTAGTCGTCATATTCGCGGCCGCTGCTGCCACCGCTGCTCCTGCGACATCGAGGGATTGGCTCCGCGGCGGGAGATCGACCCCCAATACCGCTACAAAGCACCCATTGTATAGGGACAGACCTCAAGTGATTCCTCCGCAAAAGTTATGCAATTCCCTCATCGCCCCCGACGCGCAACTCGACCACAGCGTCTCAATCGCAGACCTAACGCGCTCGCAAACAAAACCACGCAAAAATTCAGACACTGAGCATTCATGACATTTTTTTTATGTCGATAAATATATATACAACATACATAGAACTATATTTTACTCATGGCATTGGAGTGGTGATTTCGCATTCAGAGATGTGGTAAGCTTCGGATCGAGAACTCGTCCCGATTTTGGAAACTCTGATGATTCCGAAAAGACCCATCCCGGACTAATCAGTCTCGCATTCTAGAAAAAATGCCTCCCGTGTTGTGAGTCATAATTCATTCGCCGAGAGGAATGTAGCGCGGTAGAAGACCTGGTACTCGCAGAGTTCCCTTTTTTTCGTCGGGCGACGCATCGAAGCTCTCTACTCAATGCTGCCTTGTCGACGTATGACGGGCTTCTCGAAAATGAGTGGTGAGTCATTTTCGTGATTTTCCCTTGGACATAGACTTCCCCGATTTGTTTGACTGTACGCCAGTAATGGCGGGTCCAATTAGTCATCCGTTTGACCGATTCCGACGTCTGTTGATCCGCTCAAACAATACACAGCGCGTTGGGCATTACTCGCTCACGACGAGTTGTCGGTCGTGATTCGTTCGAATTATCCACCGACAAAGCGCGGTCACAGCTGTCAACTTTCTGGAAGAGCTTCTGGAGTGTCCGGCCGGCGGAATTCTGACTGGTAGTGGACCTATCGAGCCGGAATGGCCGGCATCAACCGAAGGTGAAGGAGTATACAAACAAACGTTAAGGTGACGTCACGGCAGTCTTTAATTCAGCGTCATTGTGTTCGGTAGAGGCTAGTCTTGTCCGCTCGGACTTCCGGCAGCTTCGGCAAGCAATCATGGAACATTCCGCCAGAAATCCCAAGCTCTCATGAAGCTGAGAAAATAGCTCGTAGGTTTCTGATACCGATGCATCCTGTGAGAACGGCGGAAAAATCGAGCTGCGAAATTCAACCCATGAGCCCGTTTCCATCTCGACGGGACTGCTCACCACGTTGGGGCTTCGATACGCATCGAGGACTGATCTCGCATTCTCAGACTAGTTTACCCCTTGGTATAATCCGAGAATCCATTTCCATGGTCGAGGGGTTGCTGACGGAGAGGAGAACCGTTTAGTTGCGAACGCGACCGGGCGACACCGAAGAAACACGGGTGGACGAAGCCATATGTCAGCTGAGTTTCGAATAGAGGAAGCTGCCTGTACACGACCGAGTTTTTCGGTGTCTTGGAGGGACGAGCGTCGCTTTTTCAGGGATTCACGACGAGTTCCAACAGAGCCAGTGTCTTAGAGAGGCATGTCTTAATTTGTCGTAGAGCTTGATAGGATGCCAAACTTCCGACGAGCGCCTCGGTGTTTACAAAAAGCGGGGCAAGTTGGCAGAGGAACTTTTTTCGCTCGTCATTGTCTTAATGTGAACCGCCGGCGAAGCGACGAGAGGCGAGACGAATATCTTCGCTGCCACAAACTCTCATTTGAGTCAAGTTAGTCGTCGCAGTGACGTCCGCCAACGCGGGGCCGACCGTGGCGTTGCAGCGCAGTCATTGACGGGGACGGATCCTTTGGGTTTTCTTACCACAGACCACGACAAGCTGCGAGTCGAGCAGCCAACCAACAACGTTTATACCCAGACTCGTAGAATCGTCGAGCCACCGATCTGCTGCAGCTGATACTATTTCTCGCATCACAAAGGATCTCAAGAAGATGATGATTGTTGAGAAATAGAAAGAGAAAGTTCTTGAGAAGAGAAAGAGCTCGCGCCCGCGGAAGGAGTCCACGCCGATGTCCCACCTCCTTTTCGTTAATGGCCGGGGTTCAGGGATTCTGCCGGACTTGGTGCCCCAGTTTTCACTGGGGCGCACCACTCTGCTAAATATTACATCACAAAGGAGCCCTTCTCGTTCCGTCTGACGGTCAAGGGTTATGCATTCACCACGGACGGGTTTTTCGATTCTGTTCTCTGATTAGTGGCGACGTGCCTTCAATTATGAGCTATCGGCGGATAAGTGAATATCATGGCAAGATGATTGACCTCTCAGGATCTAGAGAATAGAGGTGTGCTTATCGGATCAACATTTCCTCTCGGATGGCTCAACTCCGTAGAACGGGAGTTCCGGTAAGGAAGTCTGACAAAGCTATCGTCGAGAGAAATTACCCGCTCATCCAGAAAAATCAGAAACTCTTGGCGCAGAGTCTGCGGAAGTCAGAGAAGTATCCGGTGGTCGTTCTCGTATGGTTCTCAGACACCTGAGCCGTGGACGTTTCACGCTTTTTTCCCAGAATACCGATCTCGATTCTTGCCGGTGATCCGGAGCTGCTACACACATCTCCAGGCGTTAGAAATGTTCTTCGTCAATATGAATTCAGGGTCAATCTAGATGATTATACATGGATACACGCTCAGCTCCCCGTCGCTGGTACTGTATCCGTAAAAGCAATCATTGTCAACTGCTAACGCTGTCGCTTTGGGATTCAAGATGTTCCGTCGCCCACACCGCTCGTCCGAATATCGTGAGGGCGAAGCGTTATTTATGACGTTCGTACGTAATGCACGAACGTCGAATTCCACTTCTGTAAACGCACTGAGCATCGAGCGCTGCTGCAAAATCATAAAATGGTTGATTTATGGCCTCACGACGCTCACCAGAAGTAATTCTGATTTCGTCGATTCGTCAAGAGAGTAATAATTATTTGCAATGAAATCGATGAGCGGCACCCCAGGATGTTTGCAGTAATTTCGAGTCGAGTTCAGAGTGACTTACGTTTCCCTCGAAGGGAGAAAAGTAGACAGCTTGGTTCCCAAGACCTCATAATATGTTAATCGAATCATGACTCTGCACCTTGGATGCAGCCGTACGTGCTGATGTCGGTCTCTTCAGAACTGCGGAATCGAGCCGATGGAGATTCGCGCACACTCCAACAAGAGGACGGCGACGATTTGCATGAGCGGTTTTTGAGCGGATTTTACTTTTCTTTCTTCTACCTGGTCCAGACTCGCGGCCTTGGGAAATTATATCGTTCCTCCTTTGTGTGGCGTCAAAAAGGGCAGTAAAGAATGGATCTCCGCTCAGCCTACTCGTTACATCGAGCAGGAGCCCGACCTTTGCACAACATTGTTTCTAAAACGAGGCAACAATTATCGATTTTTCTTTTACCAACCATTCCGCCGACGTGGATGACAGTCTTTGACAGACCGGATCTTGGGACCGGAGCGACGACACTTACCGTTGCATCCGTGGAACGGTGACGAAGGCTGGAACTTGGTTAGAGACAAGCGGTCTTCAACTTTCGCGCCCGACCAGCAGAACTGCCGGCCTTTTCCAAACTGATTGGCGCATTCGATGGTTCTCTGGGGTGATTGCGGTGGAATATTCCGCAGTCATGACCACAGGAGAAAATAGCTCCATCTCTCGTCTCCCTCAAGTGGTCTTTATTGTCACTTAGATGTACAAATCGGGTCTATCGCTTTTCCATCAGTCATACTTGGTTATTGAAGCTCTCCGCTTTCCCACAGTGTTTTCTTGCGAATGAGTTGATGGGTTAGGGGAATTGGTGCTCTTCAGTCAGGTAGAACAAAATGAACCGGAGCCCCCCGACAGAGAGAAGATTCGGAGAAAGTTCACAATTGGTTCACACGAGCTCATCCAGCTCGAAATCCCCCACAAACTCGTTCGAGAAATAACGAAGGCTAGAGTTCGCGATTCCGGTTCCAACAAAGTAAGATTCATAGAGGTCAACTTAGCCTATAATCTAACCCTGCCTGACTTCCGCGAAGTCCGCGAAATAAACGAAACTCTCATCATTTCCTCAATATCGAACCGTCTCCTAGAAAGAAATGGTACAAACCTAGAAACACTCAGCCTGGTCGGCTCCTCAATCATAACGGAAGCGAGCGATCAATGTTTCGGATCGAGATCTCCCTCGAGCCGCGGCCCAGCGTCGTTTTCTGCGATGAAGGAAGCCCTCCGGAGACTTCAATGAAATGAAACGATGACGGAGCCCTGTCTAACTAAGTGCGTAATTCGAATTGACGATATGTCTTTCTAGATCGAATGCCCCTCATAAAAAAATCTCAATCAGTCATGAGCTGTGACGCTGTAGGGGTATTATTTACACGACAAAAGTTTCTCATCCTTCTTTGTAACGAGAAGATTAAATTGCTTCCTAAAGGGCGTCCCTCGACGGTTCCCGTGGCTGTTTGCTCTCTCTCTCTCGCTCTGGTCGTTTTCCGAAACGGAGTCGCCTCCCTGAGCTCTGTATTGTCGACCGGTCATATGGATCCGAGCGATTCAGGGGATGGGGAGCGAGAACAGTGGCGAAGAGACAAACCTCTACATGGGCAGACATGAGTCGCAGGCCCATAGCTTGGCCAGATAGCCAGCAGGTCAATCTAAACAATGATTCCAGTAGATGCAAAACCGGACGCTCTGGGAAACCGAACTCAGAATGGCTGGCCACTCAGCTTGATCTAGAACTGTATTGTTCGCTAAACGGGTAGGCGATACCCTCATAAAATTCTCGATGGCTGCGCATGATGGCTTCCGAATACCGGTTCCGGTCTCTGTGTCGAGGCTCCGTGGCTTCTCTGAAAGAGCCGTTCTATCATTGGAAGCCGATATTTACATCGTCGATGGATTGGGCGGCTTGACCACTTTGACTGATCTCATGATCCTGGATTGCTTCTCTATGAGAACGACTTCACTCCTCGGAGATCAGCATCTCGTATTGCTCTTTGGCGTACTGGTTCCACGCAGCTTTGCCGTCCTGGAACGAGAAGCGAATGGAAGATAGCAGAAGGGAAGCTCTATCGGCATCGCTCGGCCCGAGCTGGATATCTTCAAAGAACTGTGAAGCTCTCATTTCTGGCATGGAGAATGATTTCAGGGTCCGAGGTCTTTGAGCCCGCCTCTAAACGTGGCCTCCCCGGAAGAGAGCCCGTCTCAGAAAATTGCACGCTCCACCTGGAAATGCACACAATCAGCTGAAACAATCGGAACTCACCATCGGTCCGGAACTGAACGGGTCGGTTTGTTCGTGCTCAAGATATTTCTCGAGGTTGAAGAATGTGTCGAAGAAGACCCCGACCTACACGTATGGATAGACAGAAAGGAATATTAGATCGCGGCATATCAGGGAAGGAAGGTCTCGAGCCTTGAATGAGATAAATTGTGCCAGACGACGTCCGCCGAGGTGTTGAATATTCTCACCGCCTTGGCTCTCTTGAGGTCTCCCAGAGTCAAGAATTTATCGTGTTTGGGCTTGATCATGTCTATCATCTGACAGAGAGCGTCGATGAATGGCATAGCTTGAAGTCCTAGGCACTCCATCCGCTGAGTTTGCTCCTCATAGAAAAATTCCAGCTCATAGAGCGAGAGACGGCCGTCTCCGTCGAGGTCCATGCATCTGTTTTTCCCAAGGGGGCACGCGGGATAGAAAGAGCATTCATAAGAAATAAACGGATGACTAGACGATGTTTTGGGCGGTCGGACTCGCCGCCGTTTTTAGCTCCCCGGCCCATGGGACGGCGCCGATACTGGCCGCCGTCGCCGGTATCGATACGGTACAATGCAGAGGAATATTTCTCGGCGGACAGAAACATCGATTACAAAAGAGATTGTGCTGTATAGAGAGAACTTGCGACGACAGCAATTAATTGATAAGGAACGTGGGATGTTCTCGCTCGCGGAGCCAAGACTTCAACAGCGACTCCGGTACAGGAAGTTAACGGAGATTCGAGACCCTCTTGGGTCCACGTATTGAGCGAAATTCGCAAAATTAGGATTTCGGGGAAAAACTTTAATCTTTCGAGCGTCGATGGAAGGCTTGTCGTAGATTGTGGATGGCTCGGCAACTCACCTAAACCAGTATTCGATAGCTCTGGGGTGTTTCTTGTTCTCCTCAGCCAGAAGGAAATGCACGAAATCTTCATAAGCCATCCTACCCTTACTCTCAGGAGTGGATATCACGACGCCTGGAGTGAATATCCTCTCGATGATTCGCGTGGACAACGCGGCGTTATTGTGCTTGGCCATGTCATTCCTGTCGATCCACAAGTCGTGATCCTCGTCCAGTTCCCAAAACTTGCAGTAGACGACGTAGAAGTGCTCGTACGAGAAGTAGTCGGTGATCTGCGGAAATTATGCTCAACTCATTATGCGCGGAACAAAAGGCATGAACCCTTTAGGAGGCGCACGATTTGGTTGCTCCTCATTGTCTCCCCTCGAGCGCTCTACAATGAATGAGAATAATACCAGGCTTTTTTTGCGTTCCGTTTTTTTAATCAGTTCGCCAATATGTCGAGCTTTGTCTCGTGTACGTACAACGCGTACATGAACCGTATTTGAGTTCAGTCGCCTTCGCGATGTAGAAAACCAGACCATCCCAGCTATGCGCGCTGTTCCCTCGCTGGCGTTTTCGCGTGTCATACCTTGTTTATGTCGTCCTCAACTTCCAGCATACGTATCGTCTGAAGTAGGTTGCTGCGGCGGAGCTCGTCCCCGTACAGCTTGTTGGACCAAGTGGCACTTATGTCATAATAGATTCGGGCTATCACAGTCGTAACGTACCTTGAATACAAAAGAGACTTCTATGCTTAAAAAAATCGGATCCGGTATCCATGATCCTTGCGGGGAAGCGTAATCGCGAAGCCTGTTCGACCGAACTTGGCATTTTTCCCTCCGCCCCTCCCTCTCCCCCCCTCGGTCAGAGTTCAGACGAGAGCGCCCTGTCAACATCAACAGCGAGGACGAGAACCGCGGGGAAGTAAATTTTCGATGTCTCCGACTCCGGCAGGAAGCGGTTACGAAACGATAGAATGAACATATGTATATCGCAAGACGATCCGCTTTGATTCGCAAGGCGCGTTCAATATTCAGGGGTGTTCCAGACTGTTTCTCTAGCCCGGGCAGGAGCGAGGCGCTCCGGCCGAATTACCTCGAGTGGAACTCAGGTGCTTCGCGCAAGAAATGCAGACCAGGATGATTGGCGATCACATCCAATACCTGCAAGGAACGGAAACGGACGTGAGTCGAATCGCAGTATCGAACGAAAATATCCAAACGAAGAAGAATATGCCAATACGTCGCTTCGTCTGTTTAGCGAGACGTCTGACGGGCGGGCGGGACATCATTGATCGCTCCCCGAGCTCGGGCGACGAACGCCTCCTCGAGCCGATACTGATACGGGTGATTCTGCTCGAGCGAAACTCCACTCACAATCGGCTTGAAATCGTCGGGTACGAGATAATTCCGCTGTCCGTTGGAGAGTATTTTGACGAGCCATGAAACTTCGTCCCGACCGGTCAACATAATCCTGGAAAGAGAAATCAATCAGGCGCGAGCGATCTTCCGTGGGATATACGGGATTCGAGCGAACAGTTTCGCACATCGGTATCGGATTCAAAGCGGCGGAATTCGGATCTTAGCGGAAGACCAGCCGGCGGGCCCAAGGAGGACGATCAAGGTCACAACTGGTCGCGTCGCTCACATGAATGACTGTTCCCAGGTGCTTACGATTTCCAGTAATTGAGGAACGTCTGCTGATGGAGACCCCGGTCGACCGCCGTACCGCCAGCCGCTATAAAGAGCGCGGTTTTCCAGTAAAGAGGTAGATCGCAGGCTTTGACCACCAGGGAGAACTTGCTCGCCGAACAATAGGCGTCGCCGACGATTTGGTAAGCATGTACAATTTTCTTCATCACAAGATCAACTTCTCGCGTGTCACAGGGCTTTCCTTCAGGGTGATAGAATACTGGAATTTGACGTGTAATGCATTTCGACTGGATCGCGCGTCGAAGCGTCTCACAATGATCCTTTCCCGGTACGGGGGGTGAAACGTGAGAAGCGTCTTGAGGTACCTGCGTGCGGGCAAATTTCAATTATTTCCCTTCCGGAACGCTCCCGATAGCGTCACGTCCTGCGAGACTCTTGCAATATCATGTTTTCGCACGTTCATCGAGCTCAAGAGCCGTCTGGCGCGGGAAAACGATTTCGTGTGAGCGAAACCCACCAGTATCTCTTTCGGAGGTGATTTTGGCGATCTAGGCTCGTCGATCTGTTCCGGCATTTTCTCGAACAGAAGAATCCGATCCGCGACCGATCCCTTGAGCATCTCCTTCGATCGGCGCTGTTCCCGGAGCGTGCCTGGGCGAAAAAGCTCGTACTTCCTTGCTCGCAAATAAATGTCGATCGGGCTCTCCAAGTTCGGCCCTTTTTCCAACCACCTCGGGACACCATGTATCCCCCGTATCGATCTCACCTTCCTTCTTGCGGCGATGGCTCTCCTCGACTTCGCGACATTTTTGCTCGAATATGTGTTTCCGATCCTTGACCGAAACCCGAGCTGGACTTTGTGATTCTTGAGCAGCGGCCTGGGCCATCTGCAGGATCGGAAGAGGTTTCCTCGGAGGTGGTGAGCTAGGAAGCAAGCGGAACGTTCAATTATTCGCTTCCCGAAGAGGGACCGCTCGTCGGACCCCCGCGGTACATTCCCTACGCATCAGCCGGAGTAGAATCTGATGATTCGAATATATCCATGTTGTAGATGAGCTCGGGGTCCGCGCCCAGGTAGGAACATGCGGCGGATAAAAAAACATTCGCTGATCCCTGCGTCCCCCATTTCCGATCGGTAGGTCGCTCAAGAATGACCATATTTTATGTTTTCCGTCGAGTAGATGCTTTTTCGTGAAGAATAGAAGCCACTGGAGGCGGCCAAGTGCTCGTCCACAGAATTCTGTGAGGAAAATTGGATTTCCAGCGAGAAAGCCGGTAGACGGGTGGCGCATTGCAGCTCCGACAACGGATCTGTCGCGTGACTTGACCTTGCATTGTCCACGGGTGGGTTTACGTCATCCGTCCGCCTTTGGCCAATTTCTCGACAATTACAAACAATTCAACTCCACTAACACCAGGAGTAAACGTCCGCTAAACTGATGCCTGGGTCTAGCCGACGACTTCTTGTTGCTGAAAGCCGTCCGTGGATATCAGGCGCCACCGGATGCCAGAATAAAAACCTACGACTTTGTCCTAACAGCAAGCGCATCTACGTCGCTCGCGCGTCATGATCTGGATCAGCTTGTTGCAGTGTGTTTTATCGACTGTCAGAAAAAGGATTCCGGAACACCCGGGACGCCCGGTGGCGTAATGGATTGGGCACATCCTCTTCGTGAGGATATGATCTGGTGCTTTACTCTAGAAGGCGGAGTGAAGACTTCTTGAGCGGATCCTCAACGCAGGCGCCCGAGACGTTCTTTCTCTCTTGAAAGTAGAATCAATAGGCCGTTTGATATTCTGCATCCGGGGCCTCTCGATGGGGCTCTTGGATGCATCCGGCGACCAGACTATCACTATCATCATTATAATCATAATTATAATTTCTATCAACCGAGCATCTGTAAATTCTCAATGAGAAGTCTGCATTCAAACTCCTTCCATAGGGGTCGAAAGGATTCGGTGCTGAAAAGTTCCGACTCCCCAAGCTCTCGGAGGCTGTCGTCGTCGTGTTCCGCATCCCTCTCCTTACATAACCCTTTTAAAAGCGTTTATATAATGCTCTCAGAGAAGCGTCCAGCTCAAGTTCGGCAGATGAAAGAATTGTGTTGCGCAACGCTTTTCTACTTTGACACCTTTTGTCTAGCCGATGTTCAAAGTTCTTATGGTGTTGTGAACCGCACCCGGAATATCTCGCTCGAGTCCTGTGGGCGCGTCCACACGTACCTTATTCGATATATCCGTCTTTGCATAAGCCTTACCACCAAGTTTATATCATGCCCTGAGAGCGACGGTGGTCTTCCTCAAGAGACGCGTGGAATGAACTTTCTTACGCAACCAGGATCAACTTTGACACTTTTTGTAGAGTGACTTTCAAATTTCCCGTAGTATTGCCGAACCGCACCCGAGACATTCTCTCGCCAGTTCCCAGCGCCTGTTATTCACGCGAAGATGAAGCCAGTCTTCCGTCGTGGTTCCTCCCCCGTGGAAACCAGCATCCTCGGTGCCATTCGAGAAAATACCATGACAACATGAGCGAACTCTCGAGGAGTTCATTCATTCACCCAAGTTTTCAGCTCGTCGTCAGAGTTCGATCGATTTTGACAGATTATACGTCGATGCAACGAATTCATAGAATCTACTGAAGGGCTCCGAGTTTTGTATTACTGACGACCTATTCGCAGCTCGGAACGACCGGAAATTCCGTGGTACTCACTAAGAGGTCTGGCCATAGCTGGACTGGAAGTGCAGATTAATCTGTTTGGGTGCTCGGAGTTGGTAGACTTTCTTCTGTTCGGGGTTGGTTTTGATGAGGGGTTCTCTCGTGCTGGAACCTTGGTGGGGCGGACAGCCCAACGGTCGCTTTCCGTCATCCCCACGTGAGATCTGGATGAGTAACAGAGAATCCATTAGGGTCAGGATGATGAAAACGTGAGCGGTGGCACCCAGAGATCCCCGGAAGAGCAGGATGTCAACGATGCCAACAGCGGCCACCACCACGACGGTGTTTGGGTGCAGAACCAACAGTTTCGGCCACGGTTTCCAAACCGTGTCACATAGCTGGAGGCGTGGAACCGATTCACGAGTTCAGAGGTTGGCTAATCGGACAACGTGAGCCGTCCGATCAGAAATCGAGCGCGTCGGCACGCTTCCGAAGGTGTTCGCACTCAAACTCATCGAGAGTTCACAAAGCGACATGCAGGCGGCAGTGGCGGCGACAAAGAGCGGCTTAGCCGGCCCGTCGTCTGTCCTTCGGTTGTTCTCTTCGAACGCCCACAGGGTTTGTTGCTTGGGTAGATAGACCTTTCGGTCGATAAAGCTTGTTCAGCCTCTTCCTTCAAACCGAATTCGCATAGCGAAGCGCTCGGTCGGCTTTCCTTGCTTTCTTTCGCGCGTGCTTGTTTCATACCTTGTCTTGAGCAACGAAGGTGTGGACCAGACGTTCCAGAGAGACGTCGTCGTCTTCGAGTAGGGCTACCGGGTCGAGCATCCGTTGAAGGGACTTCTCGAGAGACTTATCCAGGTTTCTGTTGGCGGTAGCCGCGCCGCCGGCTCCAGCTTCTCCTCGGATACCTCCTTCGGCCATTGCACACGCCGCGCCCTTGTGGACCACCCCGCAGTGCATCAAGGGACAGCATCCGTTTCCTGGAAAGAATCGAATAGCATGAATCATTATTATCCATCTTCGGGAATCGCGGAGGCACAGACCGCTTCACAGGGCATTACCAACAATGTTCAATGATCACATATGATGTTTATATCAGGGCTCGAGAGGTGGTGGTATGTGTATATCTCTACCCGCTGCGCTCGGAAGTTGGAACTAAGCAAGCCGATACCACAAAACTTCGAAGGGAGCAAGTGAATGGAATCTCTCGATTATATTATTCCCAGCTTGGGACTCAATAGGTCGCATTCCCGAGAGGTCGATGTTCTCGCAGATAACCACTCGGTCAAAAAGAGGAATTCTGAGTGAGGAGAGTCGGCTGCATACAACAGAGAGAGGGAGAGCCTGTCAGAGACAGTGGCGAACACCACTCACTCCGATGCAATGGGAAAATGAGCAGGAAGTTTCTGGACCGGAGCCCGTCGAACGAAGCGCTTCACAATTTTTTCTTGGGCTCGAAGTAACATCTCCCCATTCGAGGAACGACTTCGGTTATCGCTTTTGAGGGTTCGCGCACGAGTTCCGGAGCGGCCGTAATAATATCGTACCCGGAGCGAAACTAACAATGGATACCCTCGGGTAATGAAGAACGCTCATTAGATTAGGATGCCCGCTCGCAGGCTCACCGCATATTGATGCTCGGGGGAGGGGGAGTCCTTACGACATATACGGATTCCTCACGTGTTCCTGGAAGTCGTTCAGGGAATCCTTTGGACACGATGAGGGGAACGCGGCTCCATTCTTGCGGAGACCGGGCGCGCTCGCGAGCGGGCTTTGTTGTTGCTCCTCACAGCGAGCGGTACTCTGGCAACCCGAGCCTGTAAACCCCAGGTTCAAAAGACCTGCTCCTGGGCGCTCTTGAGGGAAGCATTGCCGCAGTCATCGATTCTAGAAGAATCCACGGAAGAACGGAGCCGGGATTATCGCTTGCCCCTCTCGTACACTCAGAGCCGGCCGCGATCAGAACCAGCGGTCTTGTTTCCTAGAGTTCGATGGGACCCAAATCGGAGTCCAGTCTCCATTCATGAATGAGGAGAATACGTTCTCATTGCTGATCCTCAAAATTCATCAAATTCCCAGAAATCGAACCTTCGTTTCCTCATCCGGGAGCGATTTATTTCATCCATTGAAAATTTCCCCGGGTCTTCCCTCCCGAAAAAGCTCCTCCACAGGCTTCAATACGTCCACATGGGGGATCAGCACGGACCTCTGTGATGGAACGAGGAACAGCGCGTCGAGCCGAACTTTCCTCGCTGGAGCATCGACTCTCGTCGGGGAGGAGGAAACGTTCCCGTGACAGACCGTCCTCCCCGCTAGCTTGATCTAACATCTTGTGTCTTTTTTCGCGGCGGGCCGGTAGGGACATCCCTCGGGAGCACAGTTTGCAGAACGTGAAAGACATCGAGGCGGCGACGTCGAGCTAGTTCAGCAATCCCCAACCGGGGACGACTTGGTCTGTTTGTACTGCGGGAACCGCTGATGGTACAAACGGCTTTGTGGAGGGGAAGACTGCGTCGAATGAAGCCGTATGCTGGAAGCAGAATGAGACGCACAATTTGTAGTACAGCGTCTGTCTCGACCAAATTCTGTCCAGCAGGTATCTCTGTTCTCGAGAAGAATTTTCGCGCTATTCCGTGGCCGAATGTTCAAATCGTTTTCACGGTATGACGCTATTCGTTCCTAGAACTCGATAGATCTCTAGCCGCCATTCCATCAATAGCTCTCCAGCCGGTGATTGATCAGATGATTGGAATTAGATCGCATCGGCATGAGCCGGGGTCTCACGCGAGTTCATCCGATCCACGATAAGGCATTTCGTTTCCCCGTCGCGGAATGGCATAATTCGCGATAGATTATTCAGAAGATGGTGCATCGCGAAGGTAGCTATTTTTGAAAGTCTAGAGGATAGATTTCGCGCCGATTCTCACTCAAAAATACTCAGACGAGGTCCGTCAACTCAACCTGGTTCGGAGCAAGGACGTTCGAGAGCTTCGGATATAGACTCATGATAGTTCCAGGAATCGGAAAAAAAGGTCAGTATAACTCGTCGTTATAAACAGTCGGAGAATCGTTTACAGCTTCCCTGAGTAGCAGATGCGCACGCTGAGCAGTCATACCAGCAGGGCTAGGTTTTCTTCTCGAGCTCGCAGGAATTCCGAAGGCAGAGTTCACCCTGCTCAGATGCTACAATTTGACACACTTTTTCTCTAATATGAGACGTATGTGTCGGCCCGATAGGCAAAGAGACTCACCCACAGCCCAGCCAGAGAGTCCAAGAAAATTCAATCTCGATTAATTCCCCATACGACCCACGCTATCTGCGGCGAGCGGATAGCGTAATACGAGCCGTTGCTCGGCTGGCGCGCCGAATAATCAAAGTTCGTAAACGTCGTGGTGGTCGTCGATCGTTTCTACCGGATTCGACCGAACTTCCTCGCTCGATATCGCCGCGGGAAAGACCGAACTCCGTTCAGGTCGATTGGTCGGTCTCTGCGTTCCGCTCACAGTCGCTGAGGAGAATCACAGCTGCTCAATTGATTCCGAGTATTGTGTGAGTTAAATACCATGGTATGTGCCTCCGAGGGTGTGACTCGTGGTCTGACCGCGCTCGCGAGACAACTACCCAAGCGGTGAGCGAATGGACCACCAGGTAACCGGCTACGTACCAACGTGATGAATCGTCGACGTTCCCGGTAGACGCACAGTGTCGTTGTGATAAACCGTTATCCTGGTAGAAATTACACAGCGAGGAACTCCTGCACCCGTCATCGAAGTCGCAACATCACCGTCGGCTCTAGCACCACCAGCGACCGCGGCGGCTCTGGGCCGCGAGTTGAGCCCAAAAACATTTGATGGACACACACTGTTCCATTTATGCCCAGACACGCTTTACACTGAAGCCAGTTATTCGGTAAGGTCCGCCAGTCAGTCAGTCAGCCAACCGGCCGGCAGACAGGTAGGCTGCCAACTGAACAGTCATCGGACTTCCAGCGGATGTTTTCCGTTCGGATCAGACGTGGATAGATTTCTCAAGAGCTCGAGATGAAACTCAGACTGGAGTTCAGGCCTGGGACAGCTGTCCTATCGCTGGTGCCTAGACCCTGCTGGAAGAGCAGCCACGAGTAAGGGCTTACGCTGGCCAACCGAGCAAGCAAGCAACCAGCCAGCCTGCCAGGCTTGAACACCGGTCTGAGCGCGTTCGTGTGCGTGAGTGAGTGTGCGCGCGTGTGAGTGAGTTAGTTCACGCAGTGGTTCGTTCGCGAGATTCGCTTCTATTCGCCCGGAGACGATCAGATGAGAGCGTTCTTTCCTTCTGGAGTAGGCGTCCACGTAACGACAACAGCATCGTCGTCGACGACGAAAACCGCAAAGAGGGCGGCCACGAAGCGCTGGATGTTCTCACGAATGGCGCCAGATGTTCCAAAGATAGTAAAGCCCCAAGGACAGTGACTCGGAGCGATAGTTCTACTCCGAACAGTGCTGCTACTGCCAAGTATCATCGATCGAGAGACCATCTTCTAATACTAAACAAACAGTTCCCATTTGTGATCGGAAGGAGTTGTTTGTGAAGCGCTCGTTTCGTCTCATTCTTCAAGAACCCTTGAACCGGTGGTGCTGCCACTCGCTCGGTGCGCTTCCTTACCTAAGCACGTGCAGAGCACTCTGGTCAGATCTGGCGAAAGAGTGAGCCAGATCGACAGTGAGCGAATCTTGTGTCGCTCGAAACTCCGCTCACCATGACCATCTTTTATGGTGGTCAACGTGCGTTCGTTGTCCCCGAACCCTTTCAATTGTTGTAATCTTCAGGCTCATTCTCCTCGCTTCTAAAGGAACTAGAGCTCAATAGCCTGGCGCAGAGCACACCGAGTAATATTCCGATGTATGTATCCGCCGGGAAACGTCCTTCGAGCGAGAGACATTCTTTGGACTGGCAGAAATCCCGAGGCAGATTTTTTCTCTTCCCGATCGCATGGATAACAAGTGGTAGTGATTCTATTCCGACCACCACGAGCCACGGAGTACACCGCTAGCGGATTCGCGCTCAAGAGAGGGCTCGTTATGCCGGAAAGCTCGAGGGACGCAGAAACAATTAAAATTCCATCGAACCGAGAATTTCCGCCGTTGGACATGAACGAGAGAAAAAACTAGTGCTGCAACGAGTTTCATCCGTTCGGTTTTCCGGACGAATGGTTCCTGGCGGTCGCGAACAATGGCTTGAAATTATCCCGAGACTCCGTCGAATGATCAGGCTCTTGATCGATTTTGCTTGTCGCAGCGAGCAAGGCGATTCCGTGGCAAATATTCCTCGATCTCGACCCCCTGAGATATCTCCCTGTTCGGGAGCCTACGTCGAATGACGTTCCTCAAACAGGGACCTGGTATGGACGATCGGAAACTCATAGGATTATTCCCGACCGGCTCTGAGCAGAGAATCGGAGCAGGAAACTTGTTGGGGCGATGCCCTCGGCGGAGAAGTTGGCCCTGCCGAACGAGATGTAATCCTTGGAGATAGTTCGAGGACCCAGTCGGCTTTTTGAAACGGCTCGGTGACACTCGGTGGTTTCCGGCGATTCTGCCGGATTAAGAGTCGATTCATGATCTATTCCCTCATTGGTATTCGGTGGCTGCAGTTCGTCGAATGCGTTGCTGGTGCTGCGCTTCTTTCTTTCTTCCAGGGTCCGGGTATCCTCGAGCATCGGTCGCACAATGCGCGACTCTGACCGACGCTTTTGCGGCTTTTATGGGTTTTGTAGCGCCTCATGTTCCTCCATCTGCTGTACCATCTGCGTCGACTTGTTGCAGGGCACCGCATACCTTTCTGTCGACCTTCCTCCCGGAGTGAACTCCTCGAAAACTCCTGTTCCCGCCTCTGGATATACTATTCCCCTCATACATCTCGTCAAACACAGCGGATTTCTATTCGAATGAATTCACGCTTGCTGGTAGCTCGCTGAAACTTCCTCATTGTCGTTCAGCCGGCGGTTACTCTCTGTGGGAAGTCTACGAGGTCCTCTGTTCTCGGTATCGACGTATCGACAGAACTCTGTCGGTTTATCAACAAGCGGTGTACTCGCAGATCGATAGAAACAAATAATAAAGATGGTAGGGACGAGGAACGAGGTCTCATGAGGTCCCAAGAGGAGAATTCCTCCACTCTGCCTGGAGAGGCACAGAAGTTTCTCTTCGAGGATAAAAGTGAGGTTTACGAATGAAGACTCGAACGTGGGTACGTGGGCACGACGTACCCACGTCCGGCCTGGGCATAGAGGAGGTATAGCCCGAGATCGTAACCAACGGGATTGTATTCCAATAATTAAAAACTTCGATCACCCAATGACGTGTTCCAGTTTCCCCTGATCAGTTTGCGTCGATTGCTTCTGACCCTCCGAGTTCCAAAGACAGACTCAAGTAAGGAAGTCTGCTATCCTACGAGCCTTTTCCGATTGTTGTTCGAGCGAAATCCCCACGTTCCTTCGCTCGGTTACTGTCGGTGGGAGGGCCCGTCCGTCCATCCGTCGGATAGACGGACAGTCTGGTCGAAGCGAAGGCTGGCGCTGTGGAATTTCAATTGGCTCACTGCTGAGAGGCAAGAAGCTTCTGCGTTTCGACGTGTGTCGTAAACTAGCTCTCCGTTCCCGCTGGTTGGCTCTGCGTTGCGCTCTGGACCGAGTGATTATCTACCTTAACGACTGACTTGCTGCTTTTCCTCCTTGCTGGCGTATCGATGGCCGTACGAGACGGAGGTTCCCCGCACCCCCCCCCCCACAGGGGCTTGCCAATCACGCTCAACTAGGTACATATTATTATTAGGTATCATCGATGAGTCTCGTAATTCCGCTAAATAAATCTCTTTGTTCTGACAAGAAAACGGCGGAGAGAAAACGCAGTCTCGTTAGGCGCTCAGGATCGTTTCTGCTATTTCTCCCGATCCATATTTGAGATAGGGCTTGCTCAGCACGACTCATACACGTACTCGAATATCATTGGAGTCTGTCGACCGACGTGGAGCGTGCATCGACAGGGAGAGAGTGAGGGGGATACCGTCTCATGGCCGAGAATATCGACGAGAACACCGAGCAGCACATTTAGCTACGGTCCCCTAGTGGCCAGAAAACTAACCTGATTACGTCGGGCTTACTAGACAGACGAGACTGACAAACGCCTTACATCTCCCCTCGATGCTCCTCACTCTCCTCATTCGAATCGATTTTTCTGGCCGCCGAGGCGTTCGACTGAAGAGCCGAGATTGCTGGCTCCACATCTGGAGCGGCTGTCCGTCACTTGGAGAGTCGATTCCTCGAGTGAAGCAGACGGAGATTATTCAAGAGGCCAGACACGAGAGAATCGGAGGTATAAATTTTGAAGGCGGCGGCGCCGCCGACTTATATTCTCCTTCTGACTTCTACTCGAGCGACGACGCCGGAGATTTCATCATCGGATCCGGGGCAAGAACGGCCGGCGACGTAGCGGTCATTCGTGGGACTGTTCTCCTTAACGTCGGAGCTTGTGGAAGACGAGGATAATTTGAGCCGATGGAGCCCGCGATTCGATCAGATGTATGCCGTCGAGGCTGTGATCTCGCGGTGGAGGCGTTATATCCATTAGCGTGAAGAATAAAGCTTCCTCGCATCGATATCGAGTTACAAGAACGTCCGTCGTTCGAGCATCCGAGAATTTCCTCGCAGCTCTCTCGGGACGGCGAAGTGTGCTGTTCTGGCGATAAATTGGTGTTGTGAGCTATAATCGAAGAGCCCCATTGAAATGTCTCTCGCCGCCTCCCGCGAAGTCGGATCTCCTCAAGGATGCTCACTCGCTTAGAATGTTGCCGCGGGTATCCTTTGCGATGGATATTTCTCCTCCGGATGGTCCCTGCACGCGCCCTTCCGCAGTTGTGCTCGAGCGTCTGCACGATTCTGGGGCCAATCGGGAATCATTTCTCTCATCAAGGGATGGAATGCATGGAAGCTGAGCTTCATGCGATTGCATCTTATCTTGTTTCCTGAGCCTTTTCCTCGCTGAGAATTCTCCGGACAGCAGATTGAGCCGAGTAGGTGAAAAGAGAGCTCTCTTGGGATGTACACATGCGCCAAGCCGATTTACTCCTAATGCATAAGCGTAGGAGTATCGGGTTGCTGATTGGGAGTAATCGTCGAAAAACTACTCGACACCAGTCTGGTTGCCGGAGCCTCGTCTCTCGGTCGAGGCGGTCGCATGTGAGATCAAATAATCGCTTTCTGTGTCCCACATTCATTCGCAACGACTTCATTTGCGTCCCATTCCTCGGCAGTACATACATGACACTCGATCTGAACAATGATGATACCCAGAAGGGAACTTGAGGGACCAACACTTGTACCGTGTGGATCCAGCGGGAAGGTGAAGCTCCAAGGTCATCTCATCGGTTCCGACCGGTATCCACAGATTCGCCATTCAGGGAGTTTGCGAGCTCTGGCCGATCGAATTGAGAGGGTATCCGAAATGGCAGTCCAGTTGTTGATAGAAGCTCGAGCTTCGAGGAGACCGGTCGTCCGTGTTGAGAGAACCAGAAAATCCTTCTAGCCTTCCACCATATTCTCCCTCACCCTCGAGCAAGGTAAAGTGGACGCATGGGCTTTTCATAACAGCCGTCGGGTCGATTCTCGCCCTTTGCTCCGGAAAAATGTCGCTTGACGGCATCGAAACGGCTAGCAAGCCTGCGCCTAGAAATTGAGTCGCTCAGGCCGCTCGGCCAGTCAGACGGTCGAGCCTCTCGCCGATCCCGCATCCGACATGGGAAGATATTCCCAACATTCGGCGAAAAACAGATTTTCCCCGAATAATTTCGCGAGATCTCAATATGAATATGAATTATGAGCGTCTAAAAATCGATATGGAGTTCCTCAATATTTCGAAAGGACTGTGCTCGAGAATTGACTTCGCTATTAACTACCACGTCCACTATTCACAAGGAAGTCAGGAATTGCTGCGCCGTTTGTCAACAATGGTAATAATCATCGGAGTCTCTCCAGCACGCGCTTGCATCCCGAAAACAGTCGGAAGACATCAGCGTCCTTCCTATTACCCGGGCAGGGCACCCGAGCCCTTCAGCTGTGCCCTCTAGCTTCCTTCAGTTCCCCTATACTTGACCTCTGCTCTATTTGACGCGTCATTCTTAGGCCACGGAAGTTGTCCTCTTGTACTTCCCTGCGTGCCCAGAGTCGCGATTCCTATACCTACGTTTGTATATGTATACTGAGAGGCCCCTTTTCGAGAGCGAGCGAGAGTCAGCTTTCGTACTTGTGATGAGCAAAGCATGTCGGGACTACATACATACGACTCCCGGAAGAATTGGAAGGCGCTTTGCATTTTTCGAATCCCTGAATCCCTGGAATTCTTCGAATCCCGGGTTGCTCGGCATCTTCGGCCCCGATCGGGGCAATCTCTGTCGGAGCAGGCTTGCAGGAAAGCATTCTGATGCCACTTTGATCTCCGCTGCGATTCGCTCGCTTGTCTTGCCTATAGCAGTCGTTCGTGGTAGCTACCACGAGCGTGTGCGGGAGTGCGACTACGGCAGCTAACCTCCGGAGAGCTTCCGGGGCACCGATAATCATCCGCTGACAATCAGAGATGCCGCATCCTCTGCAGAACTCATCCGCTAGATCCGATGGAAACGAGCCCATGTCCACAGCAGCGAGCATAGTGCCCCACCCGCTCGCGCTCTCGTATCGGTGCAGCGAGAAGCGAGTCCGGACAACATATGGCGACTGGCGAGCGTAACTTCTGGATGTTGACTCCGGATTCGATAATCTATCGTAATGAGTTCGAGCAGCTGACACGGCAGAGGCGAGCTGCTGCTCGTCACCATGCGAATCAGCCCAATGATCATCCGCTGGAATCAGATGCCACACAACGCAAAAGTTGCATCCCGGTGGAGAGCGTTCGAAGAGATTGTGGCCCGTAGCCGCCCGGTCCACCGTGGCGGCAACGTTTCATTTTTCAGTCACGACCTCCGATCTAGGAGCAAATCGTTGCTCCCGAAATCAGTCGGCTTTAGGAAGAGAATATTGAGTGCGCTACATGTTGCTGTCGACGTCCACGTTGACTCCGTTGAACTCTTCCTGCGGAAGGACATGTGTGAACGTTACTGCCGGTGAATCTATCCGTTGAGTCAAGATGAGCAGATGTGGGCGCTCTGTCAGCTGTAGCGCCAGAAACTTTCCAAAACGGATATTTGTGCGCGATCTCTCTCCAACTTTGTGATTATTAGGAGGGGTGATTTTCTTGTTGTCGCCAACGAGGAAGTTTTTTTGTGTTCGTTTTCCAAGGAGGCATCAAAATGGAATCAGTTATGGTGCCTGATTTCCTCGAGGCGAGCTCCGGTACAGACTGACGGGAAACGCTCCAGAAATTCGATCTAGGAGCGTCGACAGCTATCGACAATGACGCGACTATAGCGCGGCGGACGAAGGTGCATGCTCGCGAATTTCCGAACATCAAGAAATTCGGTTCGGTGTGATGAAGCCCCGAATTATAAAAGCTATCCTCATTTGTGCTCTCGTCGGCTACATGTCACTCGCGGTCTACTTTATCATCCAGGGAGATGATTTTCGGATTCTGGCGGGTGGTGCAGGAGATCCGAACTCGATCGAGAACTCGCCGAGAAGTCGAGTTGGAAACGTCATTCCGGTGCTCATCCTTGCATGTAATCGCTCTCGTGCTTTGGAGACGGTTCTTCGACAAGTGGTGGCCATCGTGGATCAGCGTCAATTCCCCATAACGGTCTCTTTGGATTGCGAGCACGAGCCCACCGAAGCGATTGCCAAGAAATTCAACGTCAGCTACATCGAACAGCCGGATCAGAGCAAGCTCACCCACGGGCATGCGTCCTTCAATATCGAGGGCTACCACCGCTTGAGCCGTCATTACCGCTGGGCGCTCGATCAGATGGTGAATGTCCGACACAAGGAATCAAGGAGTCTCATAATTTTAGAGGACGACCTGAACGTTTCAAAGGATCTCTTTTCCTATTTTTCGGCCTTGAGTGAGCTGATGGAGAAAGATAAAACCCTCCTCTGCGTGTCCGGATACAACGATAATGGAAAAACGGAGAGCATTGACGCGTCGGACCCATGTCGACTGTGGCGCTCCGAATTTTTTCCTGGATTGGGTTGGATGACGACATCGGCGATCGTCAGAGAACTTCTAGCCAAGTGGCCCGCGGTCTTTTGGGATGACTGGTTGCGTCAGTCCACGCAGCGGAAGGGCCGGAACTGCATACGGCCCGAGGTGTCGAAGACAACAACCTTTGGTAAGGAAGGCGTGAGTTCAGGACAGTTCTTCGATTTGCACCTCGCCACCGTACAACTCAACAAGGTGGACTGTCAATATGGCCCGAAAGAAATCGAAGCCATAACCGCGAAAGCCTTCGATCATAGATTCCGGGACGAAGTGCTTGCTGCCAAAAAACTTTCCTCGGAGTCTCTCAGCGAAATCGACCCCGGTCTGGCTGTCAAAGTGATTTGCGACTCATTGGAAGAATGGAAAAATATCACCACCCTACTGAATATCATGCCCGACATTCGGTCCGGAGTGGCTCGAAATGCTTTTAAAAACGTAGTTCCGACATTCTTCAGGGGCTCGAGAGTCTACATCGACGTCAAGAAAATCATTGAGGACTCGGGGATGCGAGACGCGGCAGTCTCTTCTTAAAATCGATCTCATAAGTGGATTCATAGCGTAGTTTCTTTCCCTCCTCTTTCGCAACTTCTTACTCTCGTAGGGTTCGTCCCCTCCTCGCGTGATATTGTTCCCGACGGAGGCCCAGGGAGTTCCCGCTCATTTTAGGTAAATCATGCGTCTAATAAAATAACGCATGGGAAAAGCCTTCAGGCGCTCTATTTCGTCAATGGTCAGATCCCGGTCCGATCATCCCCTTCCTAACGCATTCCGGAATCCTTGAATGGATATCCTTGAATGGATAAGTTCCTTCAACGATTTCCGTAGCGTCGACCTGGAAGGCAACTTCCTCTATGGCAATCCTGGGCGCGGGAAGCTTCTACGAGATGAGCCGTCCAAGACCCCTTTAAGTTGGAGCTTTCGAAACAGGGGTGTTCTTGAAATTCCAGAAGTCCTGCCGAACACAGCCGATCTACGGGATCGAATTTATGATTATGGATGGATAGATGCTGTGCTCGGATTTTTTTCTCCAGGTTGTCGTCAGGGTCGGGGTCATATCGACGATGAATCGGTGGAATCCCACCCCCGTTCCGCATTCTCCTCCAGCAGCTTATCTATGGGGGCCATGGAATTCGGATTCAAGCTATGAGGGACAGCCGCCGTTGCAGTTCTATCCCGGAACACTCCCCCAGATATGTACTTCCCACAAGAGATCTTCGCCGTGTCGAAACTCGGAACCTATCACTTCCAGTCGGCAACTCGATTAAATGGAAGGTGTTGGTCCGTCACGGCACGAGAATTCCCACAGTGTCGATGTTCAGGAGAGCACCACAAGCGACGTCCGTCGATATTGACCAGGAATCAATACCTCGAGGGAACATATCCTCTTCTTGATTTTGTCACGTTGGATGAATCCTCCGAGGTAAATGTGCTGAAGAGCGAGACCGAGCTCGGCGGGAATGAGCTGACATGCTGACTCCGCAAGGAGCTCCGTATCTGCGAGTACGATTCGGCTGCAGTGAACATACTCCGCTTTCACATATCGTGTGAAACGCTTGGTTACATTAGAATGGAAAGCATTGCCCTACAACGAAGGGATGTTCGCATCAAGACGAGAACTTTGTCACACAAGTATGCTCCAAAACTCTGAACTTCTTCGTCGGCACCACTTTCAGCATGCAAATCGCTGTGCTCCCAAAGAAGGCGTCCGCAGTCCGCAAGAAATGCAGGGGAGGCACCATCGGATTCATTGTGGTAGTATGCGGCACCACATCTTGTTTCAGGAGCTGTCCGATCGAATCTTATTGCGGAACTTCTTGTCGAGCAGGAATCTCCAGTTCTATTCATCATCCGGAAAAACGAACAGATGACCGACAGCTACTACAAGTCTCCCGAATGTCACTGAGGCTGCACATGTAGAAGATAGAGTTTAAATTAGTGCTAAGACGGATAAAGAATCCTCAAGTGTTCCCCGGCGTGATCCAAATCCTAGAGATGTCGATCGACGCGTCGTTAGAGATGCCCAGTGGCTAGACACACTTGTCCCATGGCGCGATACTCACGCGGGTAGCGCGTAACCGTAGCCCGACGTGTGGTACGCGCGGAAATCGTGAGAAGTCTTCTCGGAGCCATCAAGCATCTGCAATGTGAGAGGAACAAGTCAGCATCCCTCGCGACGACGGCGCAAGAAAACTCCCGACGACGGGTTCATTTCCAGTCAGGGGAACCAAGTCTCCAGAGACTGGAGTAAGCGTGGCATTGACGAAAACATGAGAAAATCGTTCTAGTGTTTAGACCCTCCGGAGGCTGCGAGAACACTCTCAACGCTACATAGTTGTTGTAGGCTCGTATTTGAGGAAGAGAGAACCGTCAGACGATCGCGCAATTGAAGTCCGCACAGTAGAAGCAGTTTCCGATAGGAAGTTGCTTCGAAAGGCGGCGACTCCGTTAAATGAAGCCTTTGTCCGTGCCGATGTCGATAATCGATCTCGGAGAATGGTTGGTCGTTCTTCGAGGGGGGCCGCGGCGGGGACGTCGGACAAAGACGTGAGGAGCGGGAAGACTGGCGCGAACTAACATTTCATCGAGGCGAAAAACTGACAGAAACAAAATGAACGCAATCATCCGTGTGGGAGTTTTGACGCTCACTTGACGTCTCGCTTCGCCTAAAAGGTCTTGAGGGGCAATTTTGGCGCCTGACTCCTCCGAACTAAAAGTAAGGCACCTGATATCCTTAGAGCAGGCCGGAAGCAGCGCGATCTCTAATGGCGAAAAATGTGGATGGTTAATGTGAAGTCATGAACTCATTTCCGAAGCGAATGCTTCTATGCTATGGGAAGTCAATGCTCACAGGAGAACGTCGAGCTGAAGACACGAAATGTCAGAGATATGGAGAGCTTATCACACTCGAATACTATGGAGAATACAGTAGATATATTGGGCCACGATTTTGGTTCTCAATACAATTCGTTCTCTCAGCAACCCTTGAGGATTGTAGCCCCAATGAGTCCGAAGCTATTTGAGGAAACAGAAACGAATGAATGGGAGTTCAGGATTGGATACGGATGCTTCATGGCGACGGATGCGGCTATTTGTTTGTATCTTCTCGGGAGAATCCAGGGGAGAAAGACGGCGCGGCGCCTTCCAGGGCAGAACCCATTGCCGACAAAACCCTCCTCGGTCTCCGCCCCGAGGCAGAAACCCAGCACACTGATTCTCAATGGCGTCAATCAACCCCATATGATACCTCTTATGACAGTATTTAATTCACCTCATAGGCGATTTTGGATTTCTCGTATGATACTGCTGTGGGGAATCCGATGCGAAGGAGCCGATTCCTGACATAACTTACAAAGACAGAACTCGGAATTCGGATCCTCTGTGAGGTCATCTCCGGGTTTCTTCGTGGAGTTCTGTCTGGGGGAGGGGTTCGGTCTTGGTTGTCCCTGCGGAAGGCCGCCATGGGACATAAAACTTTTCCCGGAAAAACTAATGGCTCTCAATTCGGGAGGAAGTCGCTAAGAGACCTCGTTGTGCACACTCTTCTGTCTGATAGACGATACTCCGGAAGCAGCGCGTGCACGACACGATAAAACTCCAGGCCCCATGATACTCATCCTCATTGGATATCTGCTTCATGCGATTCTTTGAGAATCTTCGTCAATCCACGGAATAAAATATTCCGCTCCGAAGCATCTCCGATTGCCTGGATAGCACATAGAGTACCTATCCGAGCAAGGGAAAGACATGAAACAGCGAGAGCGTGATGTGAAGACCGGCCCGAGGTCATCTAAATGTAGCGATGGAATGCGACCGGCGTCTGGATTTCGGCGTCGAGCTTGTTCAGAGAGCTCGGTGCGTCTCCTTACATAAGCTGAGCGGTCCCCAATTAAGTTGATCGCGGTCCGGCCGCGGTGATGCAGTCCTCGTGACATTTGAGAGATGATGCTGTTGCCTCTGATGCTAATTTGGCCAAGTTTCGTTGATGAACGGGTCCTAAAAGGAGGCAAACCCTCCACGGAGCTCTCCTACCCGACCGAAACGAATACTCCGGGCAGCTCCGCTCATCGGTCTGATCCGGAAAGTGACTCCAATTTCATCTCCCCGACGGAAGAGTTCGAGGAGCGCAAGCGGTTGGAAAATCGTGAGACGAGCTGTATCATATCATGTGCAGATGGTTGATTGTTTTGAACTAATTCAGTTCGTCAGCCTCACTGTGTTCTCTTCCGCCTTTCCAATATGGTCGGCTCCCGCGCGCTCTTCATCCGTGCAGCGTCCATAGCTCTGCTGAGCCGGCAACGCGGAGAGGAAGCTCTCAATTTCGGGAATCGAGTTTCGAGACTCCGAGGACTAAGAGGTTTGTCTTTAAACCCCCAGGGAGTTTCCTCTTGCAGCGCCTCATCTTTTCTCTGAAGTGTCCGTTCAGCATCGCCACTTGCGCTAATTAACAAGTTCGATAATAGGCGGGGGGCCGACCGACTCCGACGACGGGGACGTAACGGCTGGGCACAGAATGGGTTGGAGGATGGGGCGGAAAAATAACGCCGGGGAGGAGGCACAACAAAAAGAGGCCGAGTAATCCATCAGTGACTCTAAAAAGATCCTTTGCTCCGTTGTTCCCCTGTTATTCTCTGACATCCCCTGCTCCTCGCCCAAAGGGCCCTCTCTCGAGGCGATCCCTTTCCCTTACGCCGGAGAATCCTCAGAGATCGCTTGGAAGGCGTTGAGCATGTAGCTCTCCTGTGTGTCGGCGCACTATCGAGCCTAGTAGCGGCTTTTGCGAGAATGCAGTTTCGACTCCGAGAACAGAAGTTCACATCAACGAGCACGGAGTGAAAGTACGAGAGGAACCGTGGTCGAAATCCTCGGTCGTGAGGGAGTGTCTCACTTCGGGATGTTCACCGGCAAATGGTGCACCATGCTGATCCTTATAGACGTAGTGATACTCGGCGCAAAATTCGATCCTTGAACCAATTGAGGATTTTTTGTGGATCAACGGAGAGTCGACTGAGGAGCCCTTTGTAGCGAGCAGAGAGATTGTAAGTTTCCGAATTGTGTGTGGGAGCTACCCGGAGTGTGCACCGACGAGGACCTCCTCCGACGAAGAACCTTCCGGCTTCATGTGAATTACAGCGTGTCCCGATAACATCGAGGCTGCCGTGAGTATCGGTTTCGCTGATTCGACAAAGGAGTAAAGGAGTCATGGAATGATGGTACCTCCCGTCTGTGGATCACCAATCTCAAAATGTCGTTGAAGCCCTGTTAAGTGTTACATGATCTTGCTGCGCGTCGAGAGTCGAGACGGAGGAAGATATGAATATACATATGTAGTTTTCATCTGCCTCATTCCATTACGTTGCATGCCTCTGCGTTCGTGCCCCTTCGCGCCTTCTGCCTTCTTATGCATTCGTAGAGACGTCTATCTGCGACAAAACATCGCATGCCCGGAGGCCGGACTAGAGTTTCGCTCCGATCGCAAACAGCGATTATGGCTGCTTGATGAAGCGCGCAAAAACGGAGAAAACAGAGCGGATTTTGTACTCGCACAATTTATTCAATTCATTCGGCTTGTGAAACGGGGGGAAATTCCCTTCAGCTGGAATTCCCGATTGTCGGATCGCTGCAAGCGGATTCCGAAGCGGGATCCTCAAGTGGAGGGTCCCGAATTAGCAATCGAGCGAAATCATTTCTCCCGGCGTTTGGTTCC